TAATAATATTTTTTAAAGAGAAATAATAATAATAATGATAATAACAACAACAACAAAAACAACAACAACAACAACAACATTTATATAGCGTATAGCCACGCTTTAGAGGGTGCTCTACTATTGTCCTCTGTTATTGACACAAGAACACTTAAAAACGGGTCCGCTTGGCTTCCAGGGAAATACGGAAATATCACTCTATATATTTCTATATTGTTTAAGCAGAAACTAGTAAAATTTACAACACATCTTTCATACCCAAATATCACACTGTATGTTATCTCAAAAAAAAAAAAAAAAAAGAAAAAAGAATTTAGACAGAATTCTTGACTCGTATTCAAGACAAATGAGTTTTTTTTTCATCCAAAAGCAAGGCAAATGAACAAGCTGTAAGAAAATACAATACATGTATCTCCATATGCCCAAAAAATTAACTGGTGCAAGATTCCACCGAGCTGTGACAAACGCTTTAGAAATACGTGTTGTAAATATTACAATTACACTAAGACTTGCAGCGAGTGAAATTAGATGAATATGTAAGGGAGACAATTATGTAAAATATGTTCTTTATCGTAATTCTCTCTGATTGCTGCCCTTGAAAACAAAATTTAAAATCGTTGATTTCTTTATGACTTCAATTTCAAGTACATTTTTAGACATCAACGTTTTTGAAGATAATCCTTGGAAAACAATTTTGGTGACAGTCCACTTGATGGTCTACCATAACGCTTCTGTTCCATTTGACAGTCTAACATATATAATTTTTCTGTTCTGTGCTACTTGAACAAAGAAAAATGAAACGACACAAAAACAAAACCACATTTAGCGATGAAAACAAGCTTGTGCAGGGTAATGGTGGGGTTATCAATCTTTATTTTGATAAATTCACTCATCAGTAAGCGGCCATTGTGGTAGTCGATAGACGACTCGGAATGTTTAAAACTAATCGATTCCAGCTGAAAAAGAAAAATGTGGAGATCGAGTATAAGCACAGCGACGATACCATGTTATTAAAGATCTTACAGTACAAGATGATTTTCTACTTTATAGGAGAAAGAAAATATTTATAAAATCGAGAAGGGAAAAAAACAAAAGAAAAGGAGAGAGAGAGAGAGAGAGAGAGAGAGAGAGAGAGAGAGAGAGAGAGAGAGAGAGAGAGAGAGAGAGAGAGAGAGAGAGAGAGAGAGAGAGAGAGAGAGAGAGAGAGAGAGAAATGTTGTTCTTAAAGCGTTGATGGCGTCATCTACAAGAAAGTGCACCTCTTCAGAACAGCTGGCTACGGGGATAAATAGTCGAAAGTTGTTTAAATATCCCTAGTCCAGAAATTTAAATCAAAATGGAGAAAAGTGTTTCAATCCTTTTACAAATTGAACCTAATTTATGTATCTTTTCTAGCCTTTTCCAACTCTAAAAATTTAAATTTCGACCAAAATAATACTGCACAAGTATAGACAACTGATACCAAAAAAGAAAATAAGGAACTGCAATAAAAAAATATAAAAAAGAACAAAACATGCAACATTTTGGGCAAAGTAGATCTGAACAGTTGGTCAACAAATATATCAAGATGAATTGTAACTGCACTTTCAGCCCAATTTAAATGAACATTTTTGCTGAGTTTTGTTTTGAATCAAGAACAAATGCAATACAAAACACAGTTCCAATGAGCTTTTAAACAAAAACCCAATAAAAAACCATGCATTGTCATCAAGGTAAAACATCATAATGTTAACTTCTGTTGCTTGTAATGCGTGTGCTTGAGTTTATGTGCGTGTGTGTATGCGTGTATATGTGTGTACGTGTGTGTGTGTGTGCGTGTGTGTGCGTGTGTGTGTGTGTGTGTGTGTGTGTGTGTGTGTGTGTGTGTGTGTGCATGTGTGTTTGTATACGTGTGTGTATGTGTGTGTGTGTGTGGGGGGGGGGGGATTCAACACTGAGCCTGTAGGCACATACACTAGGATCCTCTTAAAACGAAAATGGTTGATCCGAAAACAGCAGTAACTGAATGTAAATAAAAGCCCCTGTTTTTATGCTTTCGTGTTAGTTAGTTAGTTAGTTAGTTAGTTAATTAGTTAGTTAGTTTGTTTGTTTTGTTCTATTTGAGCGTCTAAATTTAAAACACGGCTAAACCGAAGAAAATCGGCGGTCCAGCATTTTCTTTTTAAAAAGCGGACTCCACTGCAACTGTATACAATATTCTACCATCTCCAACTCAGATCACTGCTATATTAAGTACGAAGTACTCAGCTGTGACAACGATATAACATGTGAACTCTGAACTTTTAGACAGAACATCTTTCCATGTGACACTACACCCCAACTTAGCTGTGGACCAGCATCTGTGGTGTAGTGGTCAGGGGCAGATCCTTCTTCGATTCCTGAGTGGGGAAACATTTGTATCGATTATCTCGGTCTTTCTGCTGGAATGTTGCATCCCTCTCAACCAAAGTTGGTCTTGACAAGTAGGTCCGGAAGCAAGCCTCTTAAACGATGTAAACCGTGTCTATGAGAGTGTAAAAACAGCTACTTAAAAAAACGCCAACAAAACAAAACAAAACAAAACATAAAACCCAACAAAAACACGCCAAAAAAAAAAATCTCAGTTGTGATGGCGGGATGACATGTGACGTCAGGACGTTTGGACACAACATCTTGCCACGTGATACTACACCCCGACCAGACCAGCCAGGGATCAAGCAGCTTCACCATTTGCAGTCGCTGGTCGAATTTCTTGACTGAACTCTAGAAATTTCATTGGTGATACTTTCAAAATAGATGTATACAATATGCACCTTTCTTTGTGTCGCCTCCACATTTTCAAGTTTTAGCTCTTTCACAGAGAAAGAGGCAGTACCAGGAAATAATGGATGGAAGGGGGTCAGAGAAACAAGGAACAAAAATATTAGTGAGATAGTCATGCAGCAAACAAAAGAAAAACATTTGCTTTAACCCTGGCACCGTAAGATAACAGAGGCCGCAAAAAGCATTAGTAAGTAAAGTAACTGCCTCTCCCCCGCAAGCAGCTACATATATATAGATGCATACATACACACACAGATACACAAATACACAGACACACATATATACACACATACAGGTCTGGGTTCGAGCTCGGTTCGGACACAGATTTTTTTCCACCCCTTCCTGCCTATCCAGCAGTAATGGGTACCTGACTTCGAGTTGGGGAAGTAAAGGCGGCGTGGAAAGGAACTTTATTGGCCACCATACCACAATATGCCGAAGGCCCAGGAAGTTGTCTCACTAACAAGGCAATCCCAGTGTCCGGATCGGATACGGGAACAACTTTTTACACACTTACAAACAAACATACACTCACCCTTACACATACATGCACTCACATATACAACACACACACACACACACACACACACACACACACACACACACACACACACACACACACATATATATATATATATATATAATATATATATATATATATATATATATATACACACGCACACACAACAACAACAAAACAACAACAACAACAATAACAAGCATAATATTTAACCAAGCATACAGACATGTTGCTGACCCAGCCAGTATCAATTTTTCAACTGCATGCATATGTATAATATGTAGTTTTGCCCTGTACATGGAAAAGCAAAGACAGAGGCTAAATAGTTCATGATCAAAGCGACATGCAGAACAAACAAAACAACAACAACAACAACAACAACAACAACAACAACAACAACAACAACAACAACAACAGCAACAACGACAACAACAACATGAACAAGAACATGAACAACAAAAACATCAACAACAAAATCAGCAACAACATCAGCAGGAGCAATAGCAGTTACTTGTTTTGTAACAGTCAGTCATCCTAGCAGACAAGACCAATTGATCGATACAAAATTCTCCCCCCCCCCCACGGGAATTGAACTTTTATCTTTTGCAAGCCACGGCGAAGTGCCTTAGAGGAAGCTCTATTGACACACTATTGGCCGAGACACAGCCATTCAGAGTGATCAACAATGAGATGTTTTAGTAAATTATATTTATTATAAACAAATACATGATACATTGTTTATGCATGTTCTATAGCTACCCCCCCCCCCCCGCAACTCCAAGTCGTGTAGGAAGTGTTTATTAGAGCGTGGGAGAGGTTTATGCAAATGCGGAGAAGAAAACATAAAATACGTAATAGATTATAATAACGTTTCTTCTTCGTAGATTTCACTTGTCGAGAGAGGTTCTGGAATGTTCTAACCGCCTAACGTCATTGTCGCATGTCAGAATACGAGGTTTTCAGGAGAAGTAAAAAACTGTCTCAATATAAAATGTTTGATTCACCCAAATCTGTTCTCATTTTAAGTAGAATGAGACTAAATCCAATCGAAGCCCCTCCTCAAACTCTACAATATATTAGAGTTTCATTTTGTCGAATTTGTGACATATTATAATATGTACTACAGAGTTGAATGCTTGCGATGACATGTATATTCTGTTTATCCCCAACACTTTATCAGTTTTATAATCCCGAGAACTGCCTTTCCCTTTATGTCATACTTTTTTAGAGAACACAGAAAATGTTGTTTACCTAAAAGTAGATAAAAAATGCAGTGCCATAAGCGTCTTCTAACTTTACTAGATCTAGAGGTCAGACGAAGATTGACTTCCTAAAAGTTGATAAAGAATGCAATATCATTGATCTCTTCTAACTTTACTAGAGTTAAGAGAAAAGTTGTTTGTCTAAAAGTTGATATAACTGATCTTTTCTAACTTTGCTAGAGGTCAGACAAAAGTTATTTTCCTAAAAGCTGATAAATAATGCAATATCACCGATCTCCTCTAACTTTTCAAGAGTTCAGAGAAAAGTTTTTATTTCTAAAAGTCGATAAAGAATTCAATATCACCGATCTCCTCTAACTTTACTTCAGTTCGGACAAAAGTTACTGTTTTTTAATGTCGCTAAAGAAAGCAAAATCACCGATCTCTTCGAACCGCAAACAGACACGACACAAGCGCCATCACCAGTCCAGCCAGACCCATGCTTATTCCAAGACGTAGCTTATCACCGTTGTTGTTATTTGGGTCATGACGTTCTGGAGCCATCAGGGCAGGTAACTCCTCCAGCCAAAGCCCCATCCGGCCGGGCAAAAACTCCGAGTCCACCAGAGAAGCCGCTCGTGTCGGGTCCAGGAGGTCAGAGTTCATGTGTAGATATGTTGAATTTTTCTCCTGATCGTAAGGGGGGAAGGTCACGGGTACAGGAGATGGCGTGTTGGGGTTGCTGTGTGGGACAGAGACGGAAAGAGTTGGAGAAATCTTTTTTCTTGATTTTTAATGTCCATATTTTCACGCCCCCCCCCCACCTTTCTAACATGGACACAATTTAGATCATGTTGAAGGCGGGCCCCCAACCCTTTCTGTCAGACCAAATCTGGGCTGAGCGGGATACTCATCCCAGCTGTCCAGAAGAAAGACCGAAATAACGGCGTCTGTGGCGTAACAGTTAGACACATCACTGTGAAACACAGTATACCCGAGTTCAATTCGTGAGTGGGGAGAATTTTTATCGAGTATCTCGCCCTTTCTGCAAAGTCTAGGTTGGGCCTAACAGACATGGTCGGAAGACAGACTCCTAAATTATCTAAATTGTGTCGGTAAGGGTGCAAAAACACCTACATCACCTACGTTTGAAAAAAAATCAAGATGGTCGATAGCAATTCTCCCCACTTGGGAATTGAACTCGAATCGCCTGCATGCGACAGCGAAGCGTCTATCTTGTCGCTATACTACAGACGCTGGTCTAGTAAAAGTCTAAACTTTATAAACGACAAAAATTTACAAAGACAAAGGTGGAAAAGTAGGAGTAACTCTGTGAAGTTGACACTCCACTGGCGAGATAATGCATTTTTTATTTTTCCATCTTTTTTTGCTCGTGTACATAATTTATCCCAATAGTTACGGAACCACCTTCAAGAGAGGAAATTGCAGCCGCTATAAAAACACTGAAGTCCCACAAGGCAGCTGGTCCCGACCATATACCACCGGAAGTCCTTAAGGCAGAAAAAGATACGTTAGTGGAAATTCTCTATGCTCTATTTTTTTAAAATGGCAAAAGGAGGAAATACCATCAGACTGGAAGGAAGGCCACCTAATCAAGCTGCCAAAGACAGGAGACCTCAGCAATTGTAACAACTACAGAGGCATTGCACTCCTGTCCATACCTGGGAAAGTCTTCAACAGGATACTCCTGGAGAGAATCAAGCTGGCGACAGATGAGAAGCTTCGAGGAAACCAGGCAGGATTCCGCAAAAACCGATCATGTGTGGACCAGATGACTACTCTGCGTATCATTGTTGAGCAATCGCTTGAATGGAATTCACCACTCGTGGTCAACTTCATTGACTATGAAAAGGTGTTTGACAGCGTGGACAGAGAAACTCTGTGGAAGCTCATGCGGCATTTTGGAATACCTGAGAAAATCGTCAAGCATGTGAAGGCCACCTATGATGGAACAAACTGCCTAGTCATCCACGAAGGACAACTCTCAGAACCATTCCAGGTACAGACAGGAGTGCGACAAGGATGCTTGCTCTCACCTTTTCTCTTCATACTGGCAATTGACTGGGTCATGAAAGAAGCCACCAGAGGCAAACGTAATGGAATACAATGGGTCCCTTGGCAGCAGCTGGACGACTTGGACTTCGCCGATGACCTTGCATTGCTCTCACACACATGCTCAGATGCAGGAAAAGACCAAGGAACTCAACAGCCTACCAAGGAGTGTTGGCCTACGTATACATCCAGGCAAGTCAAAAGTAGTGAAGCTAGGGAAAGTTTCAAGCCCTGCTGTGACAGTGGAAGACACTCCCCTGGAAGAAGTGGACTCCTTTACCTACCTTGAAAGTGTCATCGATGGTAAAGGTGGAACTGAGGCAGATGTTAAAGCAAGAACCGCAAAGGCAAGGTCAGCCTTCACGCAATTATCAAAAGTCTGGAAAGCAAGCAACATCTCACTGCGCACCAAGATTCGACTCTTTAACTCCAACGTCAAGTCTGTGCTCTTCTACGGCTGCGAAACTTGGAAGACAACGAAGACAGTACTGAATAAAGACCAGACTTTCATCAACAGATGTATGAGGAGTATTCTAAGAATTAAGTCGCAGGATAGAATAAGAAATGAAGAGCTGTGGGAAAGGACAGGACAAAAGGATATAGAGGTAGAAATAGGACTAAGAAAGTGGCGATGGATGGGACACACATTAAGAAAGCCCAGCGGAAACATCACAAAAAAGTCACTGCAGTGGAACCCACAAGGAGCACGAGGCAGGGGTAGGCCACGGGAAACATGGAGGAGATGCGTGGAAAGGGACATGGGAGAAATGAAGCTCACTTGGAACGAGCTTGGAAGGATGGCTCAGGACAGAGATAAATGGAAGGAGCTTGTGTGTGGCCTATACCCTGCCAGGGGTGAAAGGCATTGATGATGATGACATAATTCATCACAAATATCTTAAATACGGTATCATCACATATCAAATCTCCATTCTTTTCTTAAAATTTTGGAGGATAATGCATGCGTGTAGATTGAAAACCTATCCTTTCTATCTAATTACTGACCCAGTCTCTGTACGATTACTGACCCGGTCTATGTAAAATAACTAATCCAATCTCTGTATGAGTAGGCTACTCACAAAGTCCCTGTACAATTACTGACCAAATCCCTGTACCATTACCGACCCAGTCACTGTACGATTACTGACCCAGTTTTCATGAAATTGGCCAGGTACGTCATCATGACACCGGACAGAGCTTCCTCCCGGTGGGCCGTGGCGGGGTCAAGGGTCATTGGTCCCGTCCAGCCCATCAGGTACCTCCGGTCTTCAGCGTGGTTGGCGCCCTTGGTGGGGTCATAATGATAATGATATTAATAATAATAATAATTAATAATAATAATAATAATAATAATAATAATAATAATAATAATAATAATAATAATAATAGTAATGATAACACTAAGAAGGATACTACAACAACACCAACTACTACTACTACTACTACTACTACTACTACTACTACTACTACTACTACTACTACTACTACTACTACTACTACTACTACTACTACTACTAGTTATAATAATAATAATAATAATAATAATAATAATAATAATAATAATAATAATAATAATAATAATAACAATAATAATAATAATAATAATAATAATAATAATAAGAAGAAGAAGAAGATTCTCCCCTCTAGGGAATCGAACTCAGGTCTCCTTTGTGCGATGGCAAAGCGCCTAACCACTACACCCGTGACGCCGGTCCAAAGAACGTATATTATTATTATCATTACGTAAAAGGAAACTCGTCTCTGGGAAGGAAACAGTTGGCTGGTTCTAGTTTCGCTTCAAAGACATCTGTAGGCGCGACATGGTTCAACACAGATACAATGTAGTTGAGAAGATACGGGTGGTAAGTGGGTGCTGGTGGGGATCTGCTCTTTTGCTATTTTATCAAATATCTATCATCCTTATCTCCCCGCCTTCTTTTCTTATTTATTGTTACTCTCCTGCAACACTTCTTATTTTCAGCACTTAAATGTGACTTTATTGCGTTGTAAGCGCTTTAGAATTCTTACTAAAAATAAAACTATTGAGTTGAGAAGATACGGCTGCTGACAGAAGGGGCAGATTGCACAGTGTCCTTCTCAAGTAGCTGAAATATGGCGTCTGTGGTGTAGCAGTCATAAGTGGTGCCCATTGGCCTGTTCGATTCAGTTCTATTTGGTCGTGGGGGTTCGCTAGATTTTCCTCCGTAAGGGGACAAAAGCTACCATTGTGGCACAAACCGAACGAAGCCGACCACGACCTTCAAAATCAAACACCTTTGTTTTTAAGGCCCCAAGCCGGGCGATCAGTTTGAGTCAGGGGTTTATTAATTGTAGAGTACATTGAAGCCTTCAGAAACAGAACCCATCCTAACCCAACCCAACCCTACCCAATGGAACCCAGTCCAATGGAACTCAACCCAGCCCAACCCAACCGAATCTGACCGAATCAAACAGAGCCGAACCGAACTCAACCCAGCCCAACCCAACCCAACTCAACCCAACCGATTCCCCAATGGGCACCGCCTATTAGGTACTTCGCTGTCGCTCACAAAAGCTAATGCATGCTCACCCTGAATATAGGATTGTCGCCCCAGTGTTCTGGCACATCGTGGTCGAAGTAGTAGAAGTAGGCCGGGCCCTGAGCGATGTGGTTCTGTAGGTATCTGAGGGCTGGGGCTAGGTATTGCTGGGGGTAGGAGAGTCGAGGGTGAACACATACATGGAGGGAGAGAGAGGGGTGTGTGTGGAAAGATAGATAGATAGATAGATAGATAGATAGATAGATAGATAGATAGATAGATAGATAGATAGATAGATAGATAGCGAGAGAGAGAGAGACAGACAGACAGACAGACAGACAGACAGACAGACAGACAGACAGACAGACAGACAGACAGACAGACAGACAGACAGACAGACAGACAGACAGACAGAAATACAAATAGAGAGAGATACAGAGAGAGATACAGAGAGAGATACAGAGAGAGATGCAGAGAGAGAGAGAGAAAGAAAGAAAGAAAGAGAGCTAGCAGGTCTGAACAACAAATATTTGAATCGTTTACAAGTAATTCAAAACAATGCCGCTAGACTGATAACAAGATCTAAAAAAACGAGACCATGTCACTCCATTATTAAAAGAACTGCATTCGCTCCCTGTAAAAGAAAGAATAATATTTAAAATCGGCGTCATGTGTTTCAAATGTGTAAATAAAACTGCTCCTTTTTATCTACAAGACCTTGTCAGTATTTATAAGCCAGGGGGAAACCTAAGATCATCAAACGATAACACCCTACTTGTGACACCTGTAAAATCATACAAATCATATGGAGAGAGATCTTTCTCATATCTTGGTCCATTTATGTGGAACAGATTACCCATGAAACTAAGACAAATAAAAACACTTGATAGCTTCAAAAGACATCTTAAACATTTTCTGTTCCTACAGGCCTATCCTTCATAAGCTTTTAAAGTTATTTTTCATAATAGTTGTTCTATTCTTATGTCTGGATGAAAATAGTTTGTGTGTGTGTGTGTGTGTGTGTATGTGTGTGTGTGTGTGTGTGTGTGTGTGTGTGTGTGTGTGTGTGTGTGTGTGTGTGTGTGTGTGTGTGTGTGTGTGTGTGTGCATTAATGTATATTGCATGAGAAGAAAGGAAGTAGTAAGAAAGGTTTTTGAAAAATGGGTATTCCAATGTAAAGCGCATTGAGCTACTTTTTTGGAAAGGCGCTATATAAATGTTACATATTATTATTATTATTATTATTATTATTATTATTATTATTATTATTATTATTATTATTAAGAGAGAGAGAGAGAGAGAGAGAGAGGGAGAGAGAGAGAGAGAGAGAGAGAGAGAGAGAGAGAGAGAGAGAGAGAGAGAGAAAAGGGGGGGGGGTAGAAGAATCAAGGTGCTATGTAAGCACATTAAGTACAGCTATTTCTATGCACGTCACAATAATGAATGATGATGATCGATATCTGCCTTCGAACATCAAGACATAATATAGTACAATTTTATAATCTGCCTAGTTTGAGACGAGGCGTTCTCCTTATTTTAAAATCATACTCTCTCTTTTCTTTCTCGTATTCTCTCTCACATTCTCTCTCTCTCTCTCTCTCTCTCTCTCTCTCTCTCTCTCTCTCTCTCTCTCTCTCTCTCTCTCTCTCTCTCTCTCTCGTTCTCTCCGACTCTATTAGCTGAGTCAAAACTTCACTCTCTCGCTTCTCCCCTTCCACCCCTCTCTTTCACTCTTCCCTTCTCTCTTCCTCTCCTTCTCCCCCTCTCTTCATCCCTCCCCTCTCTCTCTCTCCCCATCTGCATACCTTCTAGCTTCATCTCTCTCTTCCCGGTCTCCTCCCCCCTCTCCCTCACTCTCACCTCTCCCCTTATCCCACCCCTCTCGCCATACTTCCGTCTCAACACTCCATCAATGAGCACTTCTTTGTGGACATGTGCTATATAATGCAACTTCTTCTTCTTCTTCTTCTTCTTCTTCTTCTTCTTCTTCTTCTTCTTCTTCTCACCTGATCAGCGTACAAATTCATGGCTCCTACAATATCGATGTGCCCGTCATCTGTACAGTTGATGTACCGCTCTGTGGTTGCCTCGATAGCACTCTCAGGGGGGACACTACGGAAATATCTGAAAACACAAAAAAACCCAACAATTTTTGGGTATTTGGCGGATGCTCTGGTGTGGTTTATTCCTTCTTTCCTATCAACCATCTGTCGTCATTATCTCTACTCCTTCTTCTCTTTGTGAGTTACTCACTCATAGCACTTCTAATATTCGGCACTTATATCATCTGTTTGTGTTGCAAATGCTGTAAAACTTTAATTCAAACTAAAGCTAAAGAAAATGCTGTACAAAAGGAAAATCATTTCACACAGATGTAAATTGCAGTCAGGTATACATTGATAACATATTAGCACATGTACTCACCGGTCACAGAGTAAACTGAAAAGAATAAGATGTACAATACTTTCACGACGCTGGTGCTAGCCACTGTAACAAAATAACGACATCCTGGAACAAAGACTGAGAATTCATATGGTGGCTGTACACTCTAGCCCTCTAGCAAACGTACTGGAACAAGGACGGATTGGCATTGTGTTGAATGTACTGTCTAGCCCCGCGAACAAACGTAAGACTTTACTGGTACAACGACTAGTTGATCATGTGTTGACTGTAATGTCTTAGGCACTCTAGCAAATATACAACTTACTGGAACAAGATTAATCTTGAACTGACTATTCTGTCTAGCCATGGTAGTAAAAGTAAAACTAAGACTTACTGTAACAAGGACTGATTGACCATGTGTTGACTGTACTGTCTAGCCACCGTAGTAACACTAAGACATACTGGAACAAGGACTGATTGACCATGTGTTGAATGTACTGTCTAGCCATTCTTGTAAACTTACTGGAGCAAGGAATGTTTTGACCGTTGGTTGATTGTACTGAAGAACCACTCTAGCAAAGGTACTACTCACTGAAACAAGGACTGGTTGACCATGTCGTGTTGACTATACTGTCTAGCAACTTTAACAAGTGTGTGACTTATTGGAACAAGGACTGTTTTGACCGTTGGTTGATTGTACTCAAAAACCACTCTAGCAAAGTTACTACTTACTGGAACAAGGACTGGTTGACCATGTGGCGACTGTACTGGTCACACTGGCTGAGCCGGTCCCAGGCGCCAGGTATCACGGATTCCAACAGGTCCAGTCTCCAGCCGGCCAGGAGAGAACCCTCGTTGTTGTTCACGCTCACGATTACTTCCCCTGAAATAAAGACAAATGAAAAGGAATGGGAGTCTTTGTCCTTTAATATTGAATTTTTGTTTATTTTCAGTACGAGTTTTACTACATTTGCAACACAGTAAGTGCCTATCATTAGAGGTGTTACAAGAGAGTTAAAAAAAAAATATATTTTAAAAAAAAGAGAAAAAAAGAGGAGAATTTTGGCAGAGAGCAGTACAAGTCTACGTTTAAGCCACAGACCATGAAAAGTGTCCCGTTGATCGACGTTCCGAGGAAGAAAATCGTCGTCCACCACGGCTCCCCAGCCAAGGTCAAGGACGAGACGAGTGTCCATGTCAGGCCACATGACGTAAGCCTCAGTAGACAACTGACCAGCCGGACGCTGAAACAGGTGGACAATATGAGCACAATAAATTTTAATAGTTAAATTATAATTATAATGTAGATCATCTTCATAGAGCTTACTTTCGTGTTCACAGATATAAGCGCACACAGTCACACGCGCGCGCGCATATAGACACACGCACCCACTCACACCCCCTCCCCCCACACACACATCACGCACGCACCTAATACTCACAGGTTTAAGCGAAAAAATCCCCACACATAATACAGTCGAACTTGCTCTAACGACTATCTCTCCATGACAATCACCTGTACACGCGACCACCCCTTCCCTTGCATTTTTTTCTACAATATTAAGATGACATTGTCTAAGACGTCCATCTGTGTAAGACAACCACGTTTTCTTCGACATTGGCTCACCTTCTTGAACGATTTCGATTATTTATTAGATGTATGAAAATAGTACAGGTTTAACTCCACTATCAACACTATTAATATTTTTAAGAGGCAGGACCTCCGAGTTTAACGTCCACCTCCAAAACGATGCAGCCAAATTGGGAAATTTGTGGTAAGTGCCTTTTCCAAGGACACAACGTTGGACTGTGCTGAGGCGCGAACCCCCCGAACCCGCAATCTTATGATCATAGGTTCTGTAGCCTAACTACTACTACTAGGCTACCGACGCCAAATCAGGTGTATGATTATCACATTACATGACTATGTAAAAATAAAACGAAGTCAGCAACCATGCGGGAGTATTGTGTTGGCTGCACACTGACCTGTCGAAGACACTCCACCATTCGATCCATTCGATCTGTCGGACAGTTCATACGGGTGGCCAGTCTCCTGCAGAGGGAAAATTGGACAGCCATGGAAGTGGGGGAAAAAGGGGGGGGGGGGATGGTGATGATGGGGTGTTGGGAATGGGAGTGGGAGTGGGAGTGGGAGGGAAGGGAAGTGACGGGTTTTTTGGGAGGGGATGGGTGGTGGGTGGTGGCGAATGTTTGTTTGAGCGACAAGTCTTAGGGGAGGCAGCCAATAAATTGCCACCATTATAACGATATTCATCTTGATTACTTCCCTTGAACATTTGACGCTGCAGGAGGTATGTTTCTTAATTG